TATATATATATATATATATATAATATATATATTCTTTCTATATATATATATATATATATATATATATATATTTATTTATTTGTGTGGACTGCCGACACAAGAAGCATATGGGTTAGCTATTAATTTTTGCTTAACGTATTCTTAAATAAAAGTGACCAAGCACTTACTTAGTAAGACATAATTTAATTGTAAATCACTATAAAACCCAAACTTAGTAATAGTGACCCATTTGTTTCAATCAGAAGTAAGGACTTACCTGATGACGTAATGTAAGAAATACTATCATCATGTAGCTCTGTAAATGTCGGTTTTATCCACAATGAGACTGTCAATCCATTTACACATTTTCGTGGCAGAAACGCACATGGCATATTATAATAGGTAACTGTTGAAAAATTACCATCACTGCCAACGTGAACCGCTCTATTGCTGATGCCGTCGTCGACAACTCTCCTATCTATATCAGAAAATAGATTTTCCGGATTTCCATTGATATAGCAGTCAGACTGCAGTGCTTTTTTATCATCGTCCATACGCCTACTCGTAATCGTGGCAGCAATTGTTGGTGCCTGAGTATAATGCAGCGTTGTAGCGTTGGTCCAATTTGTAAACATTGTTGAGTTAGAAGTTATCATTTGTGGAACAGTGGTAAAGTATCCAGTTGATTCCATTACTGACGTGGTCAGCAGGTCAGAGGTTGCGAGATTAAATGAGCATGTTATTTCCGTAACATTTTCTGTAAATTGAGGTTATTGAGAGTCTAATTTCAAATTTCTGTAACATAAAAAATCCAGGCCCCGAAACCTTGACTCAGAAATACCGGGATTGTAATTTAAGATAAATCATCAATACATTCTTTTTTTTTTAATGGCATACACTTATTTTATGAGACATTAAAAAACACAACTAGTAAAATAAAGTTAAGTACGACAATATAAGTTGTTAAAAAAACATTAATACTTTAAAAAGATAAAAATAGTACTTCAGCTATCTGGAAATACACACCAAAATATTCATATGACATAGGCCTATACCTGTCTCTTATACACATCTAGATGTGTATAAGAGACAGGTATCATGCTACTGTTGTTAAATTACCAATAGGCCTACTGTAGCACTAAAGTAGTAGTTTTTTTTTTTGTTTTTTATCTTTTCCCAACTCAAAAAATTACCTCTTTAATATATACATTTTTTTAAATGTATGGCCTCTCAAATCAATTAAACACCTGTAAATGCTTAGAATGCTGGACCCCCACCGGGGTTTTGGCCCTGGACCCCCGGGGGTCCTCGGCCGCCCCCTGGCCCCAGCCAATGGTGCTCGCAAGTGCCCTTTCAGTATCAAAAAGAACCCCCCTACCAAAATCCTGGCTACGGGCTTGCAGGCCAATTTAAATAATATGCTTGCGTCAAGTTGTAAAGACGACTGCCAACTTGACACTAACCTAAAAAGTTACAATATGTTTAAAACAAAGATGAAAACGAGGTGATAGTGAGAATGCAACATAAATGAATGTGAAATTTAAACCCTGCTAAATTGTATCTACTAAGGTTGTGCGGTTCGGAAAGTTAATTGAGTTAGAATGGAACCGGGACCAGCGTTTAATTTAAAGATCCAACTTTAGCGCACACCTTATTAGCAGTTTTAGTCGACTACTCTATAATGCTCTTATGGCTATAGTAATTTAGCTTATGCTGCTCCTAGGTTATTTAAATCTTAAAACATTAGTATATAATTAACACAATATCTGCAAAGGTACGATGCCAACATGAATGGATGGACCGGCTTTAAGTAGATATAATCTACAATAACTAGACCTTTATAAAAGTATTGAAATCAAATTGGTACTTACCATGTTGTTCACAGTGCCATCCGAAGCAAATGTAGCCAGATGGGCAATCGCGGCTGTCGTAACAATTATCATCAGTAAAAATGATAGCTTTGGGGGAAAATATATATTTTTTACGTTGACTGAACAATACAATATAGTTTATAAAGAAAATAAAAAACGAAGTTACGAAAGTAACAGCATAAATTTCTATCTCATATAAATATATGAAATAAATTACAAGAAAATAATTTCTACCTGAACACAGCCTTAGAAACAAGACAAAATATATTCAAACCAGGGAGACCCTGGTAGGTTCAAGGGGTTATTCATATTCTCGTTCCAGTTTAGGTGTTTATATTATAAAATGCTCTTCTAACAGGATAATAATAAGTTACCAAATGCTAACAAGACACAAATTTAAACAAGTCATTTTTCAAATTACAGCCTTCTACACTATTCCGTAACCTGTTTAGAATCCAAATAAGTTAAAAGTTATTAATTAATAAAAGTCTGCAAAAAAAAAAAACAAACAAACAAACAAACAAACAAAACAAACAGGAACGATGTCACGTACGCACCTGTTATACTGGCTTGAAATATCAAAAAAACTTATTTTAAGTAACAGTAGTATACACTTTAAAAAATAGTATACATTTAAAATATAGTATTTATTGCTGATATGAAGTTTATTGACACAGTCAGTATACCTTAACTCGAAGTAATATGTTTGATATATATTGTTTTAACAATTTTGATATAAACTAGAAAACAAAATATTCTTACGTCTTTCACAAAGAAGATCAGTAGAGTAATACTGACTGCAGACTTGGTATTTCAAAGAATCTTGTTTCGCTCGAAGGCATAACATAGGCACGTCGTAGCCATCAAAATCCACATCAGTATCTTTATACAAATGATTTCCATTAATCTGCCAATCACTGCCATTGTACACGGCCCGCCCAAGCAGCCATGTTTGGTTGTATTGAAATTCATTTAGAAGATTATCTTCTTCGCCTTGGCTGTTAATGCTCACAAGATCGAATCCAACTTCTTGACACTTTTCCCTAGCAGTAAACCACGTGAGGGTCCGCGAGTCCTCGTAATAGTAGCATCTTCCATTAACGCTTAATTCATCACATAGCAGCTCTAAAATTATATTTAGAAATGCAGAATATAGGTATTAATAAGATTCAATATTTAGAGAAATTTCCTTGTTCCATAAACCAACCGTCAGTGGCTAACATAATTATATCATTCACTAACACACATAAAATGAACAAAAATTATTCATCCATTAGTACAACGCCGTTCAGAGATGATTTCACGGCATCGTAACATGAAAGCACACACATAAGGGCTGATTTCCAAGCCAAGTATGAGGTAAAGGTCAGTGATAACTAAATACTTTAGTGTTATAATGGTAGGGGAGAGGTAATAACAAAGAACTCAAATAGCATAAGAATGAGCTGCTCCGCGTATTTGTATTAAAATTGATGGAACATCCGCCCTCCTGCGAATGGGGTAAAATTTGAACATTTAACTGGAGAGAACTACAGGAAACATACGAACCAGAGCGGCGCCTTTATTATTGCTATATAGCGCCGCCGCGCGGACAGCGAAAAATTGCTCTCGTGTACCCACAATGCCTTTCGAACGGATGTTCCACTATATTGGGAAGCTGCTCTATCTTCTGCTATCTTTGGTAATAATGAAATAAAACTGGATTGTTTAAAAATGTGGGTATATAATGTATGGGTATAAATAAACAAATTATTAATCAAACAAAAAAACTATGTGAGTACTAGGAGACAGAATATTTTTCGGTACCTCTGCCTAATGGCTCGGGCAAAGGACTTTTCCGAATATAACATTATAATAAATATAATAAATTATAATAAATTGGAAAAATAGGGTACCTTGAAATAATAATAATAATAATAATAATAATAATAATAATAATAATAATAATAATAATAATAATAATTATTATTATTATTATTATGTTAAAATATAATTCGTGCACTTTTAGAAAGTATAGGCCTACAGTAGATACGGTATGTACTTAAAATTGTAGTGGGTAACATTTAGTATTAATTCTGATTGGATAATTATTTTATGCATGGATTGGATTTAGGACAATAACATCCAATCAGAGAATTAAGAATTGATTTCAGTGATGTAAACATAGGTACTTGCCATAGCATCCTTTGCCTCGCACTAATCCCCATCCTTCGTAACATTCGCACCACTGGTCAACGCACCGACCATAGAAACAGTCGGCGTCATTGCTACAGCTCACTTAAAGCAGCCAAATATTGTAAAGGTTAAATACATGATATTTAATTTGAACGTTTTAACAATATGAGTCAACTTGAAAATTGCAACATTAATTTAAGATAAATCATCAATACATTCTTTTTTTTTTAATGGCATACACTTATTTTATGAGACATTAAAAAACACAACTAGTAAAATAAAGTTAAGTACGACAATATAAGTTGTTAAAAAAACATTAATACTTTAAAAAGATAAAAATAGTACTTCAGCTATCTGGAAATACACACCAAAATATTCATATGACATAGGCCTATACGATATAACATAAATTGAGGAACGCAGTCATTAATGTGATGGCACATCATAATAATAAACAAAAAATGATCAATTAATCACGTATAAATAATAATAGATATCGTTATACTGAATTGTTTCTACCGCATGCTTTCAAGTCAGTAATCGATGTTACGAAGATAAATGTACATTCAAACTTTTTAAAACAGAGTATTAAAAATATCAAAATTACTTGGTAAAGAGTATATACGCCTTACACAATTAACATATTTGGCTCAATGTACATATATTTTATATATTATATTATATGTCATTAGAAAAGACAAGATTATATAAATACGACGAAGAAGTTTTTGCAACTTTACGCTGGAACGGCAGGAACATACATACATACAGTACTTAGTCGTTTCCATGAGCGTGCGAGTATACTCCCTTCAGTGTATCTGTAACTGTAAGATCTTGAATAACACACGTAACATAAAATGTATTAATGCAGATTTTACACATTAAAAATATTACCTGACATCAGATTTAAATAAATATTTAAAATATAAAACATTCGTTGAAAAGCTCTTGAAAATGTCAAACAAGTTATTCGCAGGACAAGGTTTTTTTTTGTTTTTTTTTTTTTGTTGCTAATTTAGGCCTACAAAAAGCTTTAAATTACCAGCCAATTTAAATGTCTATGCAAAGTATATGAAAACGGCATTACTGTTTTTGTGCGTTCGTAATTGGCATGGATTTCTTTTTAATCCAACTTTTAATTAAAGCTAATAATTTGCATAAATATACAGAATGATAGTCATGTTCTCACACGGCAGCTAACGGTTAGCAGGATCCGGATCCTGCTAACCGTTAGCTGTCGTGCGCCATACGAGAAAATCCCGATCCGGATACCAATAATAATTATGATGATCAAATCACTGGCCAATAAGAAACTGGACATTGTAAACGCGTACGTGTGATTAGTTGACGATAGAAACGCGCTCAACTTGCTAACCGTTAGCGTTAGCACTAACCGATCAGCGTTCACAGGCTTTTTTTTAAATATACGATAAATAACTCGGTGTTTATTTTAAAGCTAAAAACGAATTATATAATATGTTTTTAATTAGATAAAATTATTGCCTGAAATTAACTAGCATAATACTCACGTACAGTCAGCCGGAGGGTTGTAATGTAAGACAATATAAAGCACACCGTCCTTCGGAATGTCTTTTAAGCCGTTGATCCTTTCAGTTTCATGGCTCAGATATTATGCACTGAACGGAATAGGGGATTTTCCCTTGGTGTATCCAGACTAATTCCCACTATGCCGGGTAGCTGCACCGTAATACGATTGCACGACCTTCTGCCAACAAATCACGTTCTATCTCAGGAGCGCTTGAGGAAGTGAAGAGTTACCTGCTGAATTACCTGAGCTTGTGGTAATTAAAAACGGTCTGTTACTCACAACTGGCCACGTTGTATTGTACATAGAATTGCGTCTCGGACTGACCACCACCAGCGCAGTGTGGGCCCAGCTTTACTGTACAAAACATTAGCGTATCTGACTTACCTCTATATATTTCTGGCGATAATACTGATCTTTTTGCTGATCAGTCAAAATTCTTTATTCCACCCTTTTAACTAAGAAACCTACATTTACGACAACATTATTGCAAGTAATATACAGTTTGCAAAGAAGCAGTCAAGATAAGTAGCAATTCTAAGCCCAGACTAAACCCCAATCGTGAGACAAAACCGCTGAAGTCTCTCGCACCGTTTTTCATCTAGAACTTTCGAGCGATGGACTTGCTAGTCCTACCGTAAACGTCAAGCTGTCGCCGTAAACAACTGTATGTTTGCGCTGAACTGTCGAAGTATTGAGATATATTTGAGAAAATGTATAAGTTTAATCTTAGAGTTCGCTTATTATGAACAAGTACAGATCTATTATTTTAATATTGATATTTACTAAGAAATCCAATAAAAATTGTTTGCTCTCCTTCTTACTTTAGTGTAAATATTGACTCTAATTTGATGAGAATATTTCCATTGTGAGCAACACAAAAATATTGAGTTAGAGGTCTATTAAACCATAAAAATGTAAAACACGTCGCTAGCACAGGGCGTCGAGTCCATTATTTTTCTTTTATGTTCGAGAGGTAGGTTTCAAAGGAAACTTAGGCATTTATCGGTTTATCCAGGTAAGAATTCACGAAATAGACATGTAAACCACGTCGTTAGCACAGGTACCGTACCTAACGCATATAAATATTAAATTTCGTGTATGATTCAATGTAATTGTTGTATATTTCCCATAATAATATATTTTTATAGTGTAATAATTTTTTTTTTAAATCAGTTACTGTACCATTTTTCTATTGTAGGCCTACTTTATATTCAATTCACTGTACTTATATTTTTAGTTACTTAGTGTATAAAAAATAATATATATAAATTCATAACAGAATAAGGTGTTTATTTCCAAACAGTGTGGGACAATATCAGGGTGGACCCACTTTACGCGAAAATTCAAACAGTGGACCAATTTTACGCAAAAATATGAAAAATCTAGACCCATTTTTCTTTAATTTTAAGCTAAATATGAGAAATCTGGACCTATTTTTCAAAAAGTAGACTCATTTTATGCATAAAATTAAATAATTTGGACCCATTAGAAAAATTGTGTGTGACTGTCCCAACAGCTGGCTACGGCATTGTATATAAGAATAATAAATTAATTTTGCTTATTTTTAGTTTTTTAATGTCAAAATGTACTTAATAAGTATAATTCTGGTTTTGGTTTCCGTTCCATCTTTACACTTGCCTGATAGCGCTTAGAGACTTTTTGTATTTTGCGCTCTATAAATTAATAACCATTAACCATTAATTCATGGAAAGTCATGTCTTTGTATCCGATGTTTATTATATTATGTTAATATTAATATGGTTTATGGTTTTATATTTATATAGCGCCTTCCACGATCGAAACCGTCTCAAGGCGCTTGAAAAATATATGTGAATAATGTATGGAAATAAATTTGATCGGAAATAACCTAAACTAACCAAACAGAATAACCGACAAAACAGATAAAAAATAGAATCACACATCATCACACCGTTTCACTGACCGACCAAGGCCGGTCAGCTATTGATTTCACAGGTGTCATAATAATGTGTGTAACTAAATATTGGCCTATCGAGCAACGAAAATGAACGAATGTGAGTGGTCTATAGTGAGTTATAAAGATGAGTTTTCAATCGGCTTTTGAAAATCCCAGTTGAAGGTGCCTGGCGTACATAATCATTGTATACAATTGTATAGTTGTATACAATAATGTCTTTTTAGAATGTTAAACTAATAATAATCATTTCATTCATTCATTTATTTATTTCTTCAACAAACATTTTTCAATTACAGTGACAATAAAATACAATATGTGATAAAAACACAAATTGAAATACTGGACAGGGGTAGCTTAAGTACATTGCTATAACTCAGATGAGCCAGCTACCCCTTAAAATAATTACATATAGCATTAAATAT